AGAAGGACGCCTCTCGTTCTGCTCGACTGCGAGGAGAAACCTTGCGGTGCTTGCTCGCTCGCTCGCAGGACGAGGAGAGGTACGAGGATCGTTAAAGGCCGTCGTCATCTCCGCGCTCGTCAACGTTCCCGTCCTCCCGGGGAGGATTTTCCGCCGGCCTGCGAGAACTGCGAGATAGCGCAAGTTGCGGGTGAAATTGCACCACCTGCTTCGCGACGTTGCATCGGAGCGAAGGGAGAGATTTTATTGCGAGCTTCGGGTAACTAATCTCTACGGACCGACGAGAGATTCTGCGAGATTCGAAAATCTCCTAAACGTAGAATCGCCTGAACGGAGAATTTGTGTCTCGCGAGGCTCGCTTCGTCGGATGTTCAGCCCAAGGTCAATATTATTATTTTTTATTTACTCAGTACGCCTCGATCGCGTCAGATTTCATTGAAATCATTTCCCTCGCGATGACTCTCTCTCTCTCTCTCTCTCTTTTTCTCTCCTTCTCTGTAGACCTTAGCAGCTCCGACTGTAATATAATCAAAGAAGAAAACTAATTTAACACCGAAGTCGGAGTATTGATCTAATCTCAGGATAATCTAATAAGTCGGTGCGATCGGCTCCGGATGGTCTTGAAAGTTTTCTTTTTCTTGTTTTTTAATCCGATCCAAAGTCGATCCCGGCGCAATCTCGCTTTATCGGAGCTGATGAGCGAGTTCGAAAAACGAGATCGAAGGGAAGACGAAGAGAATCCGCTGTTAAAGAGGGCCGCCTCGGCCGTGTAAACGCCCGCTCGGGGGATTAATTGCCGAAATAACTGCAGACACGAAGGAATCGTTTAAGCTCACATCCCGGGACATTGTTTAGCGTGGCCATACAACCGGCTGGAACGCGCCTTGTCTCCGGACACACGGGACATAATATACGGGGACAGTTACGGTCCTAGTCCGACATATATTATGTCCTGTGTAAGTGCACCGCCCTGGGCGTCCGTCGCGTAACACCCCCTTGCGCGCGCGCGCGCGCGAGAAATGCGCTTCGTGAAAAATGAACTCGGTTTGTCCTAAGTTAACCGGCGACACTCGCGACACGTAACCACCGTTCTTGCTCGATTCTCACCGTATCGAGTCTCCGAACTCGAAATCTTGGCTATATGTTCATCTTTTTCCCGCAACACGGTAGAAGCCAAGATAGCGAAAAGGGGTTCAATTCCAACGATATCATTTATTATCATCTTTCAGCGGTCATGATGCACAGACATTCCGAAATGTTGCGTCTGATTGAAGATTCTCGATGTCAGCACCTGCCTGGCACTGCATTTTAACGGAGTCTCGCCCACTATGAATATTTATGACGGTGCGTCCGCGCGCGCCCCCTTTGTGTTTCCAGTGGGAAACAATCGCTTACTCGATATCAATTTGTCGTTTTGCACTCGCATCTTCTGACGCTCCTCGAGCCGGCTCATTTGCGACGCGAGACCCTACGTCGTACGGTGTATAAATGTTTAACTTCAATTTCGGCTCGGTGGAAATAAATAGGAGAGAATCCCTATCCTCTCCCGCGAATACAAGGCGAGCTTTATTTTAACANCCCCCCCCCCCCCGACCGAGATTTTATTTCCGCTGTTCACCGCGCGCAGGCGCATGCGACACGGCCGATTTATTCGTTCGTCACGCGGAATCGGTTGTGCGATAAATAAAATTCGCACATGGGGAAGCGAACGCAAGGGAACTCGAGAAACGACGGGTCCGCCACGGCTCGTCGCGATCTACGTGTGGTACACGCGACGATGCGTGCGGTGGTTTCGCGCGTGTCACGTTTAAATTGAGCGCACGAAAAAAAAAGAAAACAAAAAACAAAAGGAGGAAAAACACGGTCCGCTTCGCAGTTCGCAGCTACCGCGCGTCTGCATTTTTCACTCGCTACGCCTACTTTTCGTCGGCTACTCCTCGCGAAATGACTCATTATCGTCGCTCAAAATAAACCTCCGTGGCTCGACACGATATATCGTCGTACACCTTTTGATAAATATAAATGAACAATGGAGGAGGGAGGGATAATGAACTCACACGTGCACTATATATATAAAGTTATTTTATATTATTATTATTATTATACTATTATTACATTGTTAGCTCTGATACTAAATGTTAAAAGATGTGTCCTCGCATCCGGTATAGACAATGAGAGGGAGAAACGATCAGTTCAGGTTTGTCACGTTAAATGCGACAAAATGTAAAGAACACGTTTAAGCTGTTCTGACGCGATAGCCTAGGTAGAAGGGATAGGAGAAATTGGCCGAGAACTGTTGTGAGCAGAAAATGACGGCGCCGATTAGAGAAACGAAGGCGGGTGTGTCCCGCTAATTGCGCCCTCGACTTGAAATATTTCGACGTGCCCGGGATTTGGTCGCGCGTGCCGCCATACGCCGCCGATGAGTTGGGCAAATATTTACGACCGTCTCCCCGTCTCGCGATTCTCCTCGGGGCGCGAACAGAGCCGCCGCTGTTACGTTTCGAGGGATCCATTTTTTCCGTATTAAAATAAAATTAAAGCAAGGCTCGCGCCGTGTGACGAGAGAAGAATGGCCCGCATGAAAAATCACCGTCCGCCTCTCCGCGAAGAAAGGATATTACGGATGTTACGTTCCTCTTGCTGGAATCGTAAATCTTTTCGCGCCGCCGCCGAGTTTCGCGAGGTTTTACGAGACGACACGGGCTGCCTGCTCGTCGGACTGCCAACAATTCTCCTCTTTGACCGATGAGTACTTGATCCTTCCGTGCGTTATTGGACGGAGCAACTTTTGTTCGGGCGAGCGGGAGTATGGATCAATCGATGAATAATCGATTAACCTGTCTACGTTGCCAGGAGATTTGGAAAATTGTTAGACTTATAATGAAAATTTCACGATTATGCTCATTATAGTGGATTGTTATAAGTGTACCATAGCCGAGTAAGGCTTCTATGATACTTTTTTTGGTTCATGAATGTTTATATCTTCGAGAACAATTCCCTGCATGTATGTCTACATGAATTTCTTTCTTCTTTAGATCGACGTCATGTGTGAGAAAACGAAACTAAAACGCGTGACTGCTATAATTCGATCTTTCTACTGTAAAAAGTCCACGATTATCCGCTTCCGTGATAACGACCGAGCGAAGTGAACGGATATATCCGCTTCTGACGTAAATGGGGATTAACGTCTCTCTTACGGAGAAAAATAATTCAGAGGAACTGTAAGTTTTATACTGTTGCGGGAAATAAATATATATACCAAGTGTTTATTAAGTATATATATGTATTGCTCAATATTTTAGGAGCTGATTTTTGAGATCATTTTATGAAGAAATGAACATATTCATATGAACTTTCTTTTTTTCGTAAAATAACCACGAAAATGAACTCCTAAAATATTGGACAGTGCACGGAAAGAATTCAAAACTCTATATACTTATAAGACATATATTTTCATATGTAATATTATATATATATCAGCAAGAATATATTATCTTATATGAAGTTAAAATTTACTTTTACAAAATGTATGAAAAGAATCCGTATAGTTCTGCTTAAAATATATATTCAAGTCATTCGATTATAACAATTTTCATTACGAGGGAAAATATATTCAAATGAAGAATCGAATCAGTTTGAAGATATTGTTCTTCCTATATTCAATTTGTCCGATATTTCCTCTCAATTCATGAAAAATTATTCTTGAATAACACGGATATGACATTTTTAGTGCAACCATATAGAATTTCTTCACGTAAAAGCTGATTTTATCTTCACATAAAATTACATATTCTTATTTATATATGAAAGAAATTATATATGAGCTTTGAATTAACATTAACTTTCTTCCCGTGTACTCAAAAAAGGAATATCCCGTATATATTCACTTATTCACCACGACAGAAAATTCGCCGTCCCATTAAATTACTTTTCTGCACGCAACGAAGGCGCACACTAAGTCATAAAGCGCCCGGTAATTTATTTCACCGCCAGTTTCTCGCAATTATACAATGCTTCGCAACATTTTATTGACCATCGCCCGTAACCATCACCCGGTACATCAATTAGCGCTCGTGCGTGGCGACGGCGGGGAGTTCATTACGCGGAGAATCTCTCGCACCGACGGGAATCTAAGTGATGATCGAGACGATTAACTCTTTTTAACGATCACCGATATCCGATAGTTAAGACACTCGGGCGACACTCGCGTCGTTGCACCGGTCGCGTCAATTACCGGGCTAATTGATTTCGATTTTGCGGATCTATGAGTAGCAAAGTTTTTCAACCTACGTTCGTCGCGTCGGGGGGTTGCGGTTGCGGCGGGG